ATTCGAGGAAGCCTGTAAAATGTCAACAGATCAGTAAATGAAAAAGAGGTGGAGGGTGAATACAGGGAAAAATTCCCAATAGTATTCAAGAAAAATTCAACGTTCCAAACAAAAATAACTTAATATAGAGGAAGAGTGCCACTGTTTCTGGTAAAGACGCTTGCTCTTGCAATATTGTGGCAAAGGGCCTGTGGGTCTGCTTGTCACGCAATCCTTACTGAACATTTGGAGACAGCAGAGGGAGTTCACGCAGCGAATACACAATCAATATTCGGCGCTGATGTATGGTATGTACAAATTTATAAACAATACACAAATTAAAGTGTAAATAGGGCAAAAAAGTTTTCCTATGGTTTGTATCCGTTCTCGGCCGCTTCGAACTGGACGATGTTACATTTTGGCTTGTTTTGTTTTTGGAAAATAACCGCCAAAATTCTAAATCTCAGTTAACCTGAGCAGCAAAAACGACAAATGTTGATCAAAGTTAACTTTTTATTCAAAATGGTAACGATATTTCGCTCCCAAAGCGGCCTCTTGTCTTTTCCACGTGCCCATTGTTGATTTTTCACCTTCAATTGCGTGACAAGGAATGGCGCGTTTTGACCTCTGAGTCACTTTTTGTTTGAGGTCCTACAATTTCGTAGTTTAAGTAGCCCAAACATTTTATTGGAGTTATTTGAAGAAGAAACCTTGTTCTTTCGCTGGATTAACTTGATATAACCCCATACCATATACCAAGGTGCGATTTTACCCTCTCAATTTTGCCATTTTTTTGTCCGCCAAAATGAGTGAAATATTGGGAAAAACCAAAAACTCCCCAAAACTTTAGATTGCAACGGAATCGAACAAAGAACACTTAAGACTGTTTGTAAATACGTGCTCTTTCGACGAGGAAAATGTTTGGTCACATTTACTGTTTTGTTTATTTTTAAGCGACGTTCAAATAATTGTTTTCTAAACCTCGTGAAGTTGAAGTGAGAGCCACAAAACCGATTTTGTTGCCGTTCGCGAAAAATAAAAATGCAATTGAACTCAAAATATTTTTTTATTCGGGCTTTCCGAAGGAAACGCCCAAGGTATAACTTCGGCTGTGTTTTTTTCTTTTTTTTTTTCTTTTTTGCGTTCAGTCACAAAACTCAGTTCCACTACAGCGCATGAGTACAATGTGAGCGCATGCGTTTGAAGCAAGAAAGCAAATGGCTGCCTTCGTGGACGATTTCTTGCTTGATACATATATCTTATTAGACGTTTTGTTGTGTAGTATCGCTGAGTATTTTTACGAGTTGTGCCGTATTTTGACGAGCCCGTAGGGCGAGTCAAAATACAAGTAACGAGTAAAAATACTCAGCGATACCATAGAACAAAACGTCTAATAAGTTATGTATTATCCAAATCGCCAAACTGTTATTTCAGTGCGGGCGAATTTCGCGGATATCTATTTACGGGGAGTGCGTGACAGAAGTATGCGAAGTGGAACGGAATTGGCGCGTTGTTGTGTTGCTGTTTCTATTTTCTTCATTAGATGAAAAATTTTCTGGTCGTCAAGCTGTTTTTCTTCGTTCGATTCATCAAATGAACTTGGATCTATATTTGCCAGCCATTCTGACTCTTCGTCGTCGGAAATATGATTGAAATTGTCCGCCACTTTTTTTTCCCGCAACTACAATCCAATTTTTCGCTTGCGCGATGCGAGAAAACCAGTTTAACCGATTGTGTTTTATACGAACCTCGCAAACTATTAAACACGTTCTCTAGTGATACCTGCGAAAGTATTCAGCATAATTTCCGGTAAGATTTTTGCGGACAGTCTGATCGATTTCACTTACACTGTGTGCTGAGACTGAAACTTTTCACCTCGAGCAATGCTCCATCGTAAGGCCCAAAATTACATGGCGAGCAACTGAGCTTCTTGTATATATCCGTGTTAAAACACACGAAAGGACTCCAAAGCACACTTCACTCGGATTGGGCAGAAAAGCACAAAGATTTTCTGGCACCAATCAGATGCCAGAACGACTGCGACCGTTTATAACTAGTCTTGCGAGACAATGTCCCCAGGGGCTCTTCCGCCCTAACTTGAAATCGACTCGGCCCCTGGGTCTCCGAGGATGGACGTGATCAAGAACCCAGTAGAATACCAGAAGCTTAATTAACTACTCTGAAACGTCTCAGAAGAAAGGGGTGAAAACTGAAGGAATTGGTTTATGTGCGTATTCGTCCAAGCATACCGAGGTCCTCTTGGCTACGTCGTTATATGAAGGTTACAAGAGGTACAAAGAATATTTGTAAGCTTAAAACGAAGAGGGTAAGATTGAATAAAGTTACAAAACATGAGAAGAAGTATTTGTTGAATTGTTCAGTGTTGGTAGATCAGAGGATAATGAATTTGAAGTATAGAGCAAGGTGGTATTTATCAATGTGTTCTTCTAATAGACCCTTGTGTCTTTATAAGAGTAACACATACGCATCAAACTATTGAAAATTTCAACTGAGTTCAGATGGTGAGAAAAATCCTGGTCCAACTCCAATGTACACTGACCGTAGCAAAACAAGAATGGCACCATATAGCCAAGCCAATGAGTACCCTGCGAGCAGAGTTGGTATTTGGACAAAATTCAGTGCAACAATGTGTTGCAATGAGTTTATGCTCTTTGATTTACAATAACAAACAAGAAATCAATTCTGCTAATGATCTCTTGTCAATACTAGGCATTGGAAGTCGGTTGTATTCAAGTTTGTCTCAGTTAACCAGACAATCATTTTTAATGAGAGATAGAATTACCCACACTTTAAAATGTGTTCAAGACTGAAGAGCCTTTCAATCACTTTTATCCGAAAACTTCAACGATTGTCTTGACAATAGGATATACTGCAGTTGCTATCTATTGTACAGGTAATGTTACTGTCAGGTCAGGTCGCTGTAACCGCAACTTGATTCTGCAACAGGTCAGATCGCTGTAACCGCGGGTAACCTGCTACTGGTACTATGTAACCCAGTACAACCTGTCGCATAGTCGAGTTGTCGGCGACTAAACCGACAGTCCCCCTCCCCAGGCCTGCCTGAGGAGGAGGGTGTGTGGACACCCAGTTAGGATTAAAAACAAGACCTTCAAAGGGCGGATGAGCTCCTCGCGAGCCAACGGCCATCCACTGCAGCAGAACTTGTCCTCCAGTCGTCGAGGTATCCTTGCCATTGGAACCAGGACATGTGATGTCAAGCACCGTGGGAACTTTGCCGTGCAACTTTGTACTCACGTTAAAAATTCACGCACAGCTTCCACTTGGCCAAAAGTCCTACGGCGACTGGTAAGCGGCGACGGGGGCAGGATTGTGAAGTCTGGAAGCCTTCAGTTGTGAACCAGCACGNGTTGAAACCCAAGTTCGTCTAAAATCAGCTAGTGCTGTCCTCGGTAGCCTCAGAGGCAGGGTGTTTGATAATAGAAACCTCTACACCAACAACAAGATAAAGGTTTACAAAGCCGTAATATTGCCGACCCTGCTGTATGGCTCAGAAGCTTGGACAACCTATAGCCGTCATCTCAAAAGTCTTGAGAGGTATCATCAGCGTGGCCTTCGCCGTATCCTCAACATCAAGTGGCAAGACAGACGAACAAACAGCAGTGTTTTGCAAGAGGCTAATGTCACAAGTATTGAGTCCTACATTATCAAGAACCAACTTCGCGGGGCTGGTCACCTTTTCCGTATGCCTTCATCCAGGCTCCCAAAGAAGATTCTATATGGTGAACTGTCCAATGGAAGACGTAACCAGGGGAGGCAACGAAAACGCTTTAAGGATAGCCTTAAACACAACCTGAGGCAGTGTGG